ATGTATGTAGGCAGGTATATATTTAATGTATATTATGATGTTTTGACATATTAAGGAAGCCTTTCTGTCTGGGGAGAGACTGCCCCTCTTGGGGCCAGCCAATTCTTAGAGATAGCAAAGGGCCCAACCCAGAGCACACCATTGATATGCATAAAAAACAACCCAGAACCATACCTCTTCTATCTGGTCCATAAACGCCACGAGGCAACATTCTTCTGCCTTAATCAATTCAGGGTCAGGTACTAAGAAACAGTGGATTACCCATATGGCTTAAAGTCCACCAAAATTATTAAAACTAGCCAATCCCCAAGTTGATTACCCGGTCATGCCTTGCCCTTCCTGGTCTAAGTTTTCTCATAACTCCTGCCCTTTCAGCCTCCTGACCAACACTGGTGACGTCCCCTGTGGCCCTATGTGGCATATGGTGACCCCCTATCATGGACCTGTGATTATAATAAACTTCTTTCTTCTAAGCTGCTTTCTCATTTTCTCCTGTGGTCACACCAACTTTATTATACCATATCCAACATTTACATTCCTGGAACACTATGTTTACAAGGTTTCTGTTTGAAGTGTAGCCTTACAATATTACCTCTAAGTAGACTGTGAAAAATTAAATACCTATAATTCCTTCAGCAATGGTTCTCAATATGGAGTGATTTTGTCCATAGGGTACATTGGCAATGTCTGGGGACATTTTACGATTGTCATAACAGAAGCAGGGTACTACTGGCATCTAGTGGGTATAAGTCAGAGTTACTGTTAAACATCCTACAATGCACAGAACAGCTCCCCACACCAAAGAATTGCCCTGCCCAAAATGTAAGCCGTGCTGATGTTGAGAAACTCTGCCTAAAGCAACCACAAAATTATATAAAATGTTACAGCTAAAAAGCCAACAGAAATATTAAAATTCAATTAGGAAGATTTAAATAATTAAAAAGGTGGTTGAAAAGATGATACAGGAATAAAAACTAGGAAGGGGAAACGGAAAACAAATAATAGGTAGACTCAACTTCAATCAGATTAAATTATATAAAATGTAAAGGAACTAAACATTCCAATTAAAAGGCAGAGATTATCAGAGTGGGTTAAAAGCATGACTCAATTATGTGATCTCTGTAAGAAATGTCTTTTGAATACAAAGACGTGGACAGCAAATGGATTAAAAAAGATTTACTATGCAAAAAAATAAGTATTAAAATGATGGAGTGGATATAATAATATTAAATATAAAAATAAATTTCAACACAGAATGCTGCTAGAGATAGAGGAACAAACATTTCATAATGAAAAAAAGCTCAATTTTTCAGGAAGACATATTAATCATAAATGTATATGTACATAATAACAGACTCCCAAAATACATGAAGCAAAAAATAATAAAATTAAAGAGGCAAGAAGAAAACCCCATGATTATAGTAGATTTCAACATTCCTTTCTCAATAACCAATAAAAAGCTAGACAAAAATCAGTAAAAATACAGATAACCTAAACAATGCTGTCAAACATAACGGACTAATTGATATTTATAGAAAACTACATACAAAATTATTTTCCAATGAACATGATCATTCACAAAGATGTACTACCATTCAATCAGTAAAAGAAGTCTCAATATATTTATAAAGATTAAAATCAAGGCTGTATGTTCCCTAAATTAAAAATAAATAATATTAAAATCTTAAGAAAACTCAAAATATTTGGAAATTAGCCAGTACAACTTCTAAAGTATTCATGGTTCAAAGAAGAAATCACAAGAAAAATTAGAGACTACTTCTTGCTGAATGATAATAGAAGCACAACATATCAAAATCTGTGAGATCCAGTAAAGGCAGTCCTTAGAAGAAAATTTAGAGCTTTAAATATTCATATCAGAAAAGAAGAAAGGCCTAAAATTGATGCCCTTGGGTTTCAAATTAAGAAGTTAAAAAAAAAGAAAAAGAAAAGTAAACCAAAAGTAAGTAGGAGAATGGGAAAAAATAATAAATCAAAGAGCAGAAATCACAAAATAAAAATCAAATGATAGTGAAAATTAACAAAATGAAAAGCATGTTCTTGTAAACCAAAAATATTGACAGGTCCATTGACAGAAAAAGAGAAAACACAAAGCACCAAAATCAGGAAAGAAAAGGGATATCACTAAATATCTTATACACATCAATGGGGTAAAAATGGAATGTTACTGACAAATTTACACTTTCAAATACAACAATGTCAGTAAATGTAACGAATTCCTTGAAAAATAAAATTTACCAAAATTAATACAAAATTAAAGAATTATGAAATAACCCAATGTTTATAAAACATTGCAAATGTGAAATAACAGACCAATATCTCTCATGAACATAGACACAAAACTCCTTAATAAAATATTAGCACACTGAATCCAACAATGTGTAAAAAAAACAAAACATCATGACTAAATGTGTTTATCTTAACAATGCAAGGTTGATTTAATATTTGAGAATCCTAGTAAAAATAGGATTTTTTTTAATTAAGCAAGGTGAAGAAAAGTAAATATGCATAAATAAACATAAATTCTTTTTAAAAAATCTTAAAAAGAACAGAGGAGTAACTATCAGATATTAAAACATAATAAAATATTGTAATAATGGAAACCACTTTGTACTTTAATAAACAGATAAATGGAATGGTGATTCCAGAAATAAAGACAAATACACATGATAAAGGTTATATGATAAAGAGGAAAAGATGGAGTATTGAACAAATGCTGCTGAGAAATCTAACCTGCCATTTAGGTAAAAAATAAAGCTCGTTCCATATCTTTTTCCTCACTTAAGATAAATTCTAGATGAAATGCAAATTTAACTATTTAAAAAAATAAAATTATAAAAACACTGGAATAAAACTTGGAATATATTTTGTAATTTCAATGTGAAGAAAGTCTTCCACAAAAAGAAGTAAACTTAGAAAGTTGATTTGAAAGACTGATAAATTTGACAACCTAAAATTCAAAGAAAGTAAAAAAAAAAATAGCATTATAAATAAGAGTTATGACAAACTGAGAAAAATATTTGTAATATATAAGGCAGAAAAGAGGTCAAATTCTTTTACAGATAAAGAGCTCTTACAAATCAATAAGAAAAAATTCAATATCCTAATAGAAAAAACATGGGTCGTTGTCATAAATAGGCAGTTCACAGAAAAATAAATAAAATGGCTTTCTAACACAAGAAAAACACCCTCAGCTTCCTTTAACTTCTAGCGATGGGCATTAAAACAAAAATGAGATGTTTTTCTTTATCTCACTGGCAAAGCAAGAAAAGATTCATAATGTGTGATATTGGTGAAGATATGTGGAAGAGGATACTCGTATACTTTGTATAAAGTATAAATAATATAATACACTCTATAATACACTTTATAATAATATAGAGTGTAAATTGGTGTTACCTGTGTAGAAGGCAATTTGGCAACATCTATTAGTTAAAATTCACAAGATTTTTGACCTAGTAATTCCACTTACAGGAATTTACATTATAGATACATTTTTATATCTGTGCCAACTCCTATACACAAGAATAGTTATAGCAGCATTGTTTGTAATAGCAAAGGTAAAAATAAATATCCATTAATGAGGGGCTGGATAAATAGATTAGCTTTCAAATAAAATATTCTGCACTATTAAAAAAGACTGAGGTTGATCTATATGATTATATAATAAAATCTCCAAGGTATATCATTGGGTAAAATATCTTGAGGCAGAACAGTTTATGACATGTGTTCCCATTGGGTAAAATAATTTATGATAAATGTACACATGCAGATATATACTTACAAATATGTATAAATACACATAAATACATACAAAAACATTTGTGTTCTTGTATATTTGCACACTATTTCTTTAAAACAACAACAACAACAACATGTAATTATTGGCTATTACCTAGGGAGATAATGCTTGAGAACTGAGAGTCTAGGGTGAGAGAGAGATTTCCTGAAAATAAACATTTTAAGATGTTTAAAAATATATTTACAATTGCTTATATAATTGAAAAATCCACCAGTTCAAAAATTCAGCAAACTAAATCAATTTGTTGCATCTTACATCCATGAAAAGCAAATTAAAAAACAGATCTTTGATATGGTGTGTTTTTTGTAAGGAAACCAACCACTTGATTGAACTGTGCTTTTTTCAACATCTTGGAAAGGTTTTCCTGCTTTTACTATGTGCCAGGCCAAGGCCGGGTGTTCAACGATACAAAACTAAACAAACAAACAAAAAAAATGTACTTGCCCTCAAGGAGCTCACCATTCAATGGGAGAAGCTCACATTCAAAGGCTCTCCTTCTGGCTTAGATAAAAAATATTTAGGAAAGGCAGTTCCTTCCAAGACCATAACAAGAGCTTAGTTCAGCAACCCTTTTCTATAGATCTCATCAGGTATCTTGGTGAATGTCAACATCTCTGAGATAGTTGATGTCATCTCCACTAAGCTCCTAGGGAAGATCTCAAAGAGACTTCTTTTAAGAGCTATTAACCATCATAGATTCTGTCCACTCAGCTTTACAGAATAATTTCAATTTCCAAAAGCATTACACTTTTTTCCACCTCTACTCCTTTGGCTGTGCTGTTCCTTCAGCTTGGAATGTTAAACTTTTGTTCTCCTTCTTCGGCCAACTCCCACCCAATGTCAAATATAGGCTCAAATCCTTCTCCAGGAAAGCCTCTCTGATTCTCTGCCACACAAATTAGGTTGAGAATATTTCCTCCATGCACCCACAGCTCTTTCCACCTTACATTCAACTATTTATTTCTCATGTTCTCATATTAAAGTACAAATTTACTTAAAGTTGTATCCCTGGTGTCCAACATAGAGTAGAAACTCAATAATTGATGAATTCAACTGTAGAGCTTTACTTTTCTCCCTTGGGTTCACCCAGCTTACCATTCTAAACTGAACTTTGTGATTGATTCCCTACATGACATACCCCCACTGAACCACTTTTCCAAAGCTAAGGCATCATACTCACTTGTCCAGTGACATCCCAGGAAAGACAAACTTGCCCAGGCACATTCGGTAGACAGAGCTCAGGGGAATCCATTGCAACTGCACACAGCTGAGCATGATAAAGTCATATTTACAAATTAAGAGAGACTTGTCCGTGACCAGCAAAATCCTCTCCTTCTCATTGTTCCAGTGGTCTATCCTGTAGGAATTATCACAGAAAATAAGAGTTGATGTCATGGTCTTTCCAAGTTAGAGATAATGGCACTCACTGAAACATCCCTACTAACACAGAAAACAGGGAGCTTTGATCACCTCAGAAGAGGGGTTGAGGAATACCTAATGCCATCCTCTCTCTCAGTCCAGTTCCATGACCAAGGGAGGAGGGAAGATGGAAGATTGCAGAAAATATATGATTCCAGAGATGAGTACCCATGAAGGGATCCATGAGGGGAATGACAAGTTTGTATCATGTTGGCAGCCACCTGATTCGTGTTCCTTCACATCTTCCCTGTTCACTAGAAAGCCTTCATCTTCCTCCAAGGACACCAAAACATCTATGCTTCTAACTCAATTCTTACCACACACTTGTCTTTTCTAATCCCCAAAAGGTATGTTACTGAGTGGAGATAAAATGGAGACTAACACAGGTGCACTGATCCCCAAGCCATCACTACATCTGTTCATCCTATCATATCCTTGAACAAGTGTAGTGGTGTTCTTATGAGCCAAGGACAAAGTAGACACTAGATAAGTGTCTACTATATTGATTTGCTTTGGCCTTGAGACCCTTTCAGGGCATGCATGGAAAATTCTGACTCAACAGAATCTCCACCAGAGAAAACAAGAAGAAATCCAAACAGTGGTGTCTGGTTAGAAGGAAGCGCACACCTCGATGTTTATAGCAGCAATGTCCACAATAGCCAAACTGTGGAAAGAGCCAAGATGTCCATCGACATGAATGGATAAAGAAGAGGTGGTATATATTACAATGGAATATTATGCAGCCATCAAAAGGAATGAGATCTTGCCATTTGCAATGACGTGGATGGAACTGGAGGGTATTATGTTGAGCGAAATAAGTCAAACAGAGAAAGACATGTATCATATGACCTCACTGATATGAGGAATTCTTAATCTCAGGAAACAAACTGAGGGTTGCTGGAGTGGGGGGTGGGGTGGGAGGGATGGGGTGACTGAGTGATAGACACTGGGGAGGGTATGTGCTCTGGTAAGCACTGTGAATTGTGCAAGACTATTGAATCTCAGATCTGTACCTCTGAAACAAATAATGCAATATATGTTAAGAAAAAAAAAAAAAAGAAGAAGGTAGCAGGAGGGGAAGAATGAAGGGGGGGAAATCGGAGGGGTAGACGAACCATGAGAGACGATGGTCTCTGAAAAACAAACTGAGGGTTCTAGAGGGGAGGGGGGTGGGAGGATGGGTTAGCCTGGTGATGGGTATTGAGGAGGGCACGTTCTGCATGGAGCACTGGGTGTTATGCACAAACAATGAATCGTGGAACACTACATCTAAAACTAATGATGTAATGTATGGGGATTAACATAAGAATAAATAAAAAAAAAAAAAAGAAGGAAGTGCACATGGTCTGTAAATCCTCTCACCCACAGCACTTTTGCTGTCTATCTACTATAGTCTTTAGGATATAGCACTCATGAGTTTTATTAGAATTATTTCAGTACACATTTTGTTTTCCCTAAAAGACTTGAAGAGGATGATCTGTGACTGATTCATACCTGAATCCTCACTACACAGAATCAATCTAATGTAAAGACAGAATGGGCATCCTATTCCCACCCATTCTCATAGAGTAACCACAGTGCTATTTTTAAAATACAAACAGAATGACATCACTCTCCTGTTTATTTTATTAAATAGCATCTCTTTGATCTTAGGAGAAAATCCGTTACCTATGGACTATAGCATTATCTCACAGCAGGCTAAGAACCTTAACTGTCCAAATCATAGTCAAATGCCTCATGCAAAGAGTATTTCTTCAGTTTCTGTATAAACTTGGCTCTCTATCATGCTCTCTCAAAGCATCCAAACCCATTGCTTTTTGTTAAGAAGGAATGATACGTAAAACATTTAGAAGTAAGTACCATGTGGACACTGACTGATCAGAATGGACACCATAGTACAGAGGGGAGGACAATGCCAGTCAGTATGAGCTCAGTATCTTGTATGTGTGTGTGTGTGTGTGTGTGTTTGCACGTGTGTATGTGTGTTCCATGAAGGCAGAGACTGTGTCCATTGGGCTACTCACTCTATCTGGTTCCTGTCAAATAGCCTATGCTAAATAAGTGTCTGTTGAGTGAATAAATGAGTGCTAATCAAAAATTTTGAAGGTTGTTGGGCTAGATGAGGGTGGGGGTGAAATCTTCCAGCTCTATAATTTACTAACTCTGTAAGATCGGATATTTGACCTGTCTTTGGCTCATATTCCTTATCTGTGAAATGGAGACAATACTAGCACTCATCTAAGTTTGGGGAGAGGATTAGGGGAAATGATTCTCAATCAGTGCTCTATAAATCAGCTATCATTATCAGTGGCAGGGACCTCAGTCACAAAGGAATTTTGGGTAACCCAGATATATGCCATCCCCTAGTATAGCATAACCTAAACACAGACAGGTAAGACAAGTCAGTAGTTAAATCAGTGCAAGGAACAGTAGACGTGTGAAAGAGAGAAAAAAGATAAAAGAGAAGAAAAGAGAGAAAAGCGGAAAAGGGAAAAACAAGAAGGCTGGGATCACTGATAGAGGCCCTATTGTATGGCGGCCATGAGGTGATATTAGTTCTACATCCCCCACAACCCTTTGAAGAAAGTCACATCTGAAGTCAGTCAACTATAATATGACAGTAGATAGTAGAATATGGTGTAGAGTCTGAGAGATCTGGTTTAAATCCTGGTTTGACTGTGTCCATCCACTCCAATAACACCGCCATACTCAACTCCTGATGCACAGAAAAAAGGAAGGAATTCTAGATAATCTGTTTAACACTCTCAGTCTTAGTCAGAAAGACACCGGGGACTCTGAAATGTCTTATCAGATATCTACATAAATTTCTCTAAATAGCTTGCATCTACTTAGCAGCAAGTTAAAAAGCTGCTGCCTAATAAACCAGACTTGGTTTTAGTCTAAAAAAACCACAGCTTTTGGTTGAATGGTTTTACTGAAAATGTCAGCACTCCATAATGAGATTTATTTTAAAAGGTAAAGGATTTGGGAAAAAAGAGAATTCTTTTTAGGAACACAGAGTGCTCTGCTGTGACACAGATTCTGCATAATTTACATGTCGGGAAAGTCTGAATTCAAGTAAACACACAGATTTATAAATAGTTTGGGGCCACATCTCTAGCTCCTGGGTGGTATATGTATTTATTTAGACTTCAATCACACCTTTTTCCCCAAATAACTCATGGAAAAAACATTGAATTTCATATTCCCAATATTAACATAATTGAAGTTGGGTTGGCAATAATATCCACAACAAATATAGGGATAGGAGTAACAGTAACATATTGTGGAGATTTACAAAGTCCTTGGATATTGATGGTCCTATTAATCCTCACAACAACCCTTTGGACTGGATGTTATTACCCTCATTTTAAAGACAAGGTAGAGAGACACAAAACCCAGCCATGGTATTGGCTTTTTTTCCCAATACCATCCACCTCCAAACAGAGCGTCCTTCAGTTGGTATGAGAATGTGATAAAACCCACTTCTGGAAGGAGCTGATGTGATGATATATACCACTCCTGGTGTGCTCTCTGGGAAATCTTTCCCCTGAGAAAACACCTATCACTGTCCCTTTCAAACCTTGTTCCTCCTCCAGTGTTCCCAATCTTGGAAAAGAAACCTCTTTCCAGTTATGCAAGCCAGAGACGTAGGAGGGAGTCATTCTGAACTCTCCCTTTTCCTCACCTCACCTGCCAGGTCCTAAACATTTGACTCCAAAAATATTTCTCAACACCACCCACTTATCTCCATCTTGACCTTCACCACCCCGATCCAGTCCTCCCTCATCTCCTGCTTAGACTATGTCAATCACCCTCTCACTAGGTTTGGACTACTAGTCACCAAGACCCATTTTACCTACATCTACTCTTGTTTCCTCCTAACCTCTCCACCATACTGCAATGAGGGGGACCTTTTGAAAAAAACAAATCTGGCCCCCACCTCTCCACTTTGGCTTCAAACATTTCAACAGTTCCCCAGAGCTCTTCTAAGAAATGACAAAAGTTCTTCACCTGGTCTAAGATGCTGTCCACAGTCAAGCCCTACCTACTTCTTCAACCTCATCCCAGGCCAAGACTCTTCACTCATTCTTCTTGATCTTTCAGTTTCTTGCATTTAACATGCCCACTCCTACTAAAGCAACTTTTCATATGCTGCTTCCTCCTGAGCTTCTTTACCTAACTGCTATAGTGCTGAGCTCAATTACTCCTTACTCAGGCAAGCTTTCCCAGACCTCTGTGACTACTTCTGTTCTTCCTAATGTACACTTACATAACACCACACATTTCTCCTTCATAGTATTTATCCCAGATGCAATTTTACAGTTATTTCTATGATGACCTAATTAGTGTCTGCCTCCTTTCCTATACTATAAATGCCACAAAGACAGTCAGTTCTTCACATCGTGTCTCCAAGGTTGCATGTGTCCAAAAAGTATTTCTGAAATGAATTAGTAAAGAATGAACAATCCTTGTGCTGTGCAAGCCATATGCCTTGGCTCATGCTGTTTGGGAATCCTATCCTCACGTTTACACATTGAAATACTCCCCCATAAAATAGCACAGTTTCAAAAACTAATCAGTAACATTGGGAAAATGTTCATGCCTTAAAAGTTAGAAAGAGAGGATGCAAAATGTTACTTTCAGTATACTTCCAACTTTGTAACAACAAATCCATAGATCAAAATGGTAACAGTGATTATTTCTGAGTGCTGGGATTTCAAATGACTTCCATTTCTTTTCATGCTTTTATTAGCCAGTGTTTAATTTCTTTTGGCAATGAACATATTCTACTTTTATGATAAAGAGATCCTTTTTTAAAAAAAAAGTAATCTCACCTATCCTTCAAGTCCCCAGTTTAAATGCCATCTATTTCATGGAGACTCACCCTCACCAGTCTCCAGCCCACCCCCCACAAAGTAGATGTCGTCTTTCTTT